ATTTCTATTGCGCAGAAGCACAGTGTCCCATACCGGGCCAGCGAATTCAAGAATTGGCCTCACGCATGCCTTGTAAATGTAGGCGCAAGTGTTGACATCGGATCCTTTGAAAGACCTCTCCAGCATGTATAGAAGTTTCTTGGCTTTTGATGTAACGTGGTGAATATGCTCTGACCAGGAAAGACGATCGTTGACTATAACGCAAAGATCAGTGTGGCTGGAAACTGCTTCGATGTTGTGGTCAGAGATCTTGTATGTAAATCGCGGATTTGTCTTCCCGAGGTGACGGACACAACACTTAGTTAGATTTAAGGGTAAAAGCCAACTGACTGACCATTGACAAACAATATCAAGATATCGTTGAAGCATAGCAGAATTTATGACAGTATTGTAAATCTTGGTGTCTTCGGCATAAGCTGAACATGTGGAGGAAATCAATGCGGGCAGGTCACTTGTATACAGAAGGAACAGCACTGGCCCCAAGACAGAGCCTTGAGGAACTCCACTTGCTACATGATGAAGGTGAGACTGCCTATCACTGACGCGCACAGAGATAGTCCTCCCGGTGAGAAAAACCTTAATCCACAGCAACAACTCGCCTCTTATTCCCATACATTCCAACTTAAACAGAAGGCTTCTATGTGATACGCGATCGAAAGCCCTAGAAAAATCTAAGTAGATTATATCAACAGGAGTCTTAGTGTCCAGATACAGGGTCCAATCGTTGAGAGAGTGGAGAAGGTTGGTCATTATTGATCGACCAGGAAGAAATCCATGCTGATTCTTAGGGATAAGGTCATTTTCGAAAGCAAATGACAGGAGCTTATCTAATATTATTCTTTCAGCTATTTTGGCGGCGATAGGAACGAGACTTATTGGTCTCTTATTTTTAGCGGAGGATTTGTCGCCCTTTTTGAATACAGGGGTAACAGAAGCACTAAGCCAGCATGAGGGTAGGGTATGAGATCTAAAAGACGATGTGAATATCAAGCTTAATGGTAGGGCCAGTGCTGAAGCGCAGTTTTTTAGTACAGCAGCCGTCATCCCATCTTTACCAGGGGAGGAAGAGGTCTTCAGATTTCGCAGGTGCATTAATACATCTTCAGGCAGGAACTCAACTTCGCAAAGGCTGTTGGGATACCTATGGCAGATAGTGGTCGGTAGAACGTCTCCATTAGGCTCATCGACGAAGTCATCACTGAAGGACTCTGCCAGTAAGTTGGCAGATTCGGTGGCATCCATGTGGAGATGACCGTCAGCGTCGGCGGATCGCTTTGGAATTCAGGTTTGTTCTTAGATACCGAAACAGCTTCTTCTTATTTTTGGAGGTAACGAGTTTTCGTTCATAAGCATGTTTGGCATTATGTAACGTTCTAGATAGGAGGTTAGAAAAGGATCGATGAGACACGTAATCTTGTGAATGGCCACTCCTCCTAAACCGTTGCCACAAAGATCTCTTGTGACAGTCGCTTAGGACTCGTTGAGCGAAAATGTCCCACATATCTTGGGTGCTACGGTTGTTAAGCAAAGCAGGCCAGTTGACTTCAGACAGGGCTTGGTTAAGAGCATCGTGGTTTACAATTTTAGTTTTAAACTTATCGGTTGTAGAACGACTATTTATATTGAAGTGGAGAGAAGATAAAAGTTTGTGTAGAAATAACACTTATTTCTGTTTTTGCGGATACGTGAGGATCAGAAGTCAAAAGCTAAATTGCAATCAAGCATGAAAATGCTGATGAACAACTCAGGCTCACGACGAGCTTTGTTTTCAGGTATGAAGGCTGTGATACGACACTAACGAGACTAAAAATTCAATGCAAATTTCAATCAATCCGACATAAAATGCACATATGTAAATCTAAACTGAAGCGTTCGTTTGCAAATACGGAGCTTAATCAGCGATTAATATGCTAGACAAATCTTTTGCGAAAGCTGCGAATGTAATACCTGAGCTAGGAATTCCGGAATGCTGGCGGTGGACAGTGATATAGCCCAGCTGACAAATCCTAAAATTCTGAAAAAATATAATGGAATAAATCCGACGACGTTTAAACTGGTTTAATTTTGATACTAAAGTTGGCTGCTTCTCTCAATCTGCGTACACATTTTCAACAACGCGATCTGTGCATCCAATAAAAAACCTTATGGTCTTCCATTTGAAATTTATGATAAGGAAGTATGTTTTTGTTTTTGATCACATTTAGGAACTACTGAAAATTTTCTTAAAAGTAGATTCATTGAAAATAAAATCACCCAGAAAATGTTTTCGCACCAAACGGCTAAATTATAAGAAAATCAAAATATATGGTAAAACCTGAACACAAAATGAAAATTTCATTCATTCATTTCAGTGTTGCAGGCAAGGCCTCACTTTTTCGTTGTACATTGCTCACTGCTCAATTTATTTTCCTTCTTAGTCTTCCAAACTCTGTAACTATGTTCAATTTGAAGTCTGGTCTGGCATACGAAACAGATGACTATGTGATAATTTCATAGCCTGCCTAGGAACTTCTGTTTTTCTGCTATAACTACAGTTTGATAATTTCAATGTATGACATATTATACATTTTTGAAATCAGAATATGAGACTCTATTTATCAGTCAGTCAGTTTTACCTGGCACTCTACGGAAGTACTTTGAATTTTGAAACTTTTTAACACGCTTTCATAAGCTTGACCTGTGTGTATGTATGTGTGGACCCAATCTTTGAGCATAATTTTCACAAATTTTCAGAAGTTTTATTAATTTGATAACAGCTTCCCATTATCCTTATTCATAAGTGAAATTCTGCAAGAAGCAGATTTGTTAATAAAAGCGACGGATCTCAAATGCCTCTTTACGAATACTGAAACTACAAGCCTCTGTCGTGAGTTCAATCCTCACAGGAGGCAAATTGTTCTATACCTTTTTTTTTTAATTTTCATACACGGTTTTATTACTAGCTTGGGCTGTATGTATGTATGTATTTTATCGTATGTAAGGAGTCTTTGAGCATAGCTTTCACCAATTTCCAGAAGTTTGATTAATTTGAAACTGCGCACACGTCTCGCTCGCGACTGATTGCTGCTAGACAAGTTAATCAAGCACTTAGGACCAACATTAATATTTGACGGTCAGTTGGACCAATAGACAGAGACCTTATGGAAATGGAATTTATTTGACGGAAGCTGTCAAACCTCTCTGACACTCTTCTGACACAGTCCGGATCGAAAGATGACGATACTCGTGAAATGTATCGATATACCCAAGTGTCGTATATAAAAATATCGATCCAAAATATCGGGTATGGGAAGCAAAAGTATCGATACTTCTAAATATAGGATCGTATCGAACATCCCTACTGTCTAGATGTATAACCCGAGGTACCGACGGAGCTATTTTGCGGCGTCATGGAAATAATTTTAAATTTTCATTTGCATTTTTTCAAGTGTTGTGCAACGATTTTGGGAAAAATTCCACGTATAGTCTTATAAAGCATAGTAGAGTATATTTAACGTTAAATGTAATAATCAGCTGTTATTCAAATAATGTCTAATATAAATATAAATTAGAATGTGTACTCAGTGAAGCATGAAAGTTATTGCAAATTCTATTTTTTTGCAGGTTTTAAGTTTGCCGGTAACTTTACAACATATATTTGAGTATTTCTTAATCGCTGTGAATATAGTGTGCATGTTTTTTCAGTTCCTGAACAACCCAAAAGTAAACTCGCATATCAATTGAAGAAACTAATATAAACATGAATAAACTATCGACAATATTAAAAAGAAACATGAATTTCATTCAAAAATCTAACACTATATTAGATTTTGACTAAATTATATGTAATTTCTTAATATTCAATGAGCTGGTGATGTTTCAATGACAAACTGTCATCTCATACTTTGACAGTATTTTGTTTTCAATATTTCATAGCTATTGGCTGCTAAAATTTGTTGATTGGGATTTGAAGCTCATTCGCTGTATTTGACGTACTGTTACCGTATAGGTAGAGAATAACGCACTGTTGATTTGACAATCCTAGTGAAATCCACCGTTAGTCGTGTAAGATCTTTAGACGGTATTCGGATTGAAGGACTTGATTGATCTAAGTCATTGATTCCCAAAGTGGTCTATATCGACCCCTAGTTACATCATACTATCTTATAATATCAAAACATATACATTATTTATAAAAGTACCTATGAAGCAAAAATTTATTATATATGTTTATAAAATTGTGTAAGTTGTAGGATGTTGGTATTCACCTTGTGGTCGCAATACATTTTGAACTTGTAGAAACCTGAGAGTCGCAGTCTCAGAGCTTCGCTACCTTGCACTGACTTGTTCAATTCGTCACTCTATAAATACGAATGTGGGACAAATACGTTTATTCGTTTCCTGAATCTTGAAAAGGAAAGTGCTAAGAAAATATTTTAAAAAATATAAACAGATAGTATATCACACAAATTATAGTGAGTCAGTGTTATTTTGTTTGAGAGTGCTGGAGAAAAGTAAGTACATTATTTATTATTAAATTTTGACTTTAGTTATTAGTAGCTAAATAATCAATCATGCAAAATTACACGAGTACTCCTCAATAGTTTCTTTTTGAAAGTTTTAGCAATCGGTAATATAATTACAGTGCAATCTCCGTAATTCGAGCTAATTGTTGCAGAAGATGTTCGAATTATGGAATATTTTCGGAAAAATCAAAAATATTTTTAATATTCAGCTGCTGGATTTTTTGTCTTATTTAAATAATTTAATTTTGCTCACAGATGACTGATGCCATGTCCGAATCTAAAAAGAAATGTAGACAGTACAGTGTTGATTATTTGAAATTTGGCTTCATTCCAGCATTGCCGGACAAACAATCGCCTATGTGCCTTTTATGCAACAAAGTTTTGGGCAATGACGCTATGAAACCATCTAAACTGCAAGATCATCTTTGAAGATGCCACCCTGATAAAACAGAGAAAGATTTGAAATACTTTCAAACACTCAAAGATAAATTTCAGAAGAGACCTACACTGGACAGAATGTTCGCTTCGACGTCACAAAGAAATGATGATGGTTTGCGGGCGTCTTACAATAACTCGTTACTTATAGCAAAATCCGGAAAACCGCATACTATCGGAAAGAAGTTAATTTTGTCAGCCGTTGAAGACGTTTTACACAAACCTACATCCGATATCATTAAAAGAATTCCCTTAAGCAACAATACTGTTGAAAGAGGTATTGATGAAATGAGTTCTGACATTGAAAACTTCTTATGTAATTATTTGCAAACGACCCATTTCTCTATACAACTGGACGAGTCAACTTTACCTGATAATGCAGCATTATTATTGGCATATGTTCGTTTTATTATGAATCAAGAAATCTACGAAGAACTGGTCTTCGCAAGAACTTTGATAACCGTCACTAAAGGTGAATCAGTATTTCATGTTTTGAAGGATTACTTCATTGAAAAAGCAATTCCTTTATCAAATATAATATCAGTAGCTACAGATGGAGCACCTGCCATGGTTGGACGTTATCGTGGATTTATAAGCTATTTAAAACAAAATGTGTCAGGGGTGTTTGCAATACATTACGACATCCATCGACAACATTTAGTTGCTAAAAATTTAAGTGTTAGATTGCATGAATCACTTCATTTAGTCATTGATGCAGTAAACCGAATCCGAAGCAACGTGTTGAATACGCGTTTATTTGCGCAATTGTGTGAAGAAAATGACGAACACTTTCATCAATTACTCCTTTACACTGAAGTACGCTGGCTGTCGAAAGGCTTATGTTTGACAAGATTTTTTGCACTTTTTGAGACTATTTTAAAATTTCTGGATACTAAAGATAAAATTTTAAAAGAAAATTTAATGAAGAGGAAAACATACATCGCCTATTTAACAGATAAAACAAAAATTCATCTTAACAGCGTTTCTTGACAGAGTTAAACTATAAGTCAACGCCAAACAAAGTGACGTGCACGTCATCACGATAAAAATTCCCCGACCTAATGCCTAGGTTTCTATCACAAACAATTGCTCTATTGCAGTTTCATATTAATGTGATATATAAATTGTAAAATGGTCATTACTCTCTTATTATGGTTAATAGTCATATAAACATTGTTATTAAAATATCACATAAGTTGCTTTCTGATAAATTTAGACGCATTATGCGAAATAAAATGTTTTGCAAACGCTTCAATCACTTATCGACATGTAAACGCACTAAACCGATTTCGCAGCGTTGACACATTGTCACCTTGAAACTTATTTAAACTGGGAACTGACATTTGTATTAATTTTGACACTGAATCAATTTGTGGCATTTCAAATCTTTATAAATCCTTTGGCCCCGCATACTGTAAATCAACAACTGTTTGTTTCAAAACAAAATTATTCATTTTACGAGTAGATAAAGGCAATTTTGGTATATAAAGATGCCCAAACAGTCGGTGTAAGGAACTCGTGGCCTCGTTAATGCACTACTTTGAGCGAGAAAGGGACAACAACGGGCCTTTGTTGCCTTTAAATGCTGTTCAAGAGGTAGGTTACTAATAATTATATGTAATGTATATTAATTATAGTGAAATTTTATTTCATTTTTTGTAGCGTGTTGCTGCTGCTTTAAAAATTAGTTTAAGGACAGTTAGTCGTATTTCCGAGGGTGTGAAAAGTGATGCAAATTTAGAATCGCCCAAGAAAAAGCGGAGTTATATTAAACGTGTAACCAACACAGCGACATTGGATACAAGTGCCATTCGAGAAGTGATCTATAATATGTATCACAAAAGTAAGATCTTATTATAATAACTTATCAGAAATTTGCATTAATTTGTTAACTAAATTATAATGTCATATTACACATGGTTTCAGAAGAACAAGTTACGATACAAACTTTATGGTCTCGATTAAGAGATAGGGCATTATTTGATGGTAGTGCCACGTCTTTAAGGCGGTTGCTTAGAGATCTTGGATTTAAGTGGCTTAAGGACAATCCGCGACGAGGGCTCATGGAACTACCAAGTATAGCTTTGAAAAGGGTGGAATTTCTAAGGCAATACAATCAAGCCAAGGTTGAGGCCTTATACCAGTTTGTCTTCCTCGATGAAACTTGGATATTTCAAAATGGGACCATAGGTCGCTCTTGGCAAAATGGAAACCAAAAAAGCGTGAAAGCTATTAAAACAGATGGTAAAAGGTATGTACTTTTACACAATTTGCACTATAAAATTTAAAACTAATATATTTTAGATACATTATATTACATGCTGGAAATGAAAATGGGTTTATTGAGGGTAGTGAAGCGATATTTTCTTCGAAAACAAAATTGAGCGATTACCATGGAGAGATGAACCAGGACAATTTTTTGAAATGGTTTCAACATCAGTTATTAGAAAAATTGGAGAGTCCATCTATGATTATACTGGATAACGCCCCTTATCACAGCATGATATTGAACAAAGTGCCCAACAATGCATGGACAAAAAAAAATATCCAAGACTGGTTGACAAATCAAAACATACCATTTTTAAACACAATGTTTAAAACAGAGCTATTGAGTATTGTTGCTCGGTACATAATGCTTCTTAATTATATATATTTTGGTCGACAGTTTATATTTCTTTTGTTTATTCCTATTCTTAAAATAACTGCTTTTTTATAAACAAACCACCTAAAATATACGTGATTGATGAATTGGCGGAACAACATGGGCACAAAGTTCTTCGTCTGCCTCCTTACCATTGTATATTTAACCCTATTGAGTTAATTTGGGGCATAGCAAAAGGTTACTATAACAGACATATTGGTAGAGATGGTAACAGTGAAAAAGACTGTTTGGATATGTGGAACGAGGCTCTACAAACGGTTACCCCAGACATGTGGAAAAATAGTATTCGACATACTGAGCAAGAAATTTTTAAATGGTATGAAAGAGAACGAATTTTTGATCGACCAGACATCGAACCTTTAATAATCAACTTTGAGAGTGATGAAGATTCAGATTCAGACAGCGCTGAAGAAAGAAACTCCGACTAACTTTATTGTACAGAAAAAGCTTACACCAGTAGCTTACCTAATTTTAGAATGCATTTTTCTGTATGAATTCTGTAAAATAAATACCATGCATAAAATTTGGAGGACCCCATTTGGATTTTTATTCAGTACCTTTAAGCTATCGATTAAATATGGTAGTTTCATAGTGTCATCTGATCAATAATTGTCATACTTAATGATTATGCAAGTACAGATCTATAATTTTATTATACTATTAATTTGTTCTCATTTGAGGTTAATATTGCTTATAAACCTAGATATGTAAATAATAAATTTTATTATTTTACAAAAAGTTTGGCAACAATGTAAATTTTTCAACACACCCACCTTGATGACGTGCACGCCACTTTGTTTGGCGTTGACTATAATGAAGCAAAATATTGGACTTTTCTCAGTTCCCCAATTTGTCACAGACAAGCTGCCAGGAAGACGACGTTTCAACTTATGTTCAACATTTAAATGCCCTCTATTCAGATTTTGAATCTAGGTTTGAGGATAATTTGACTATCCCGTATTATGGAATATAGCGAGGAAATTTTTAACTTCCTTTCCATCGTCATACCTAGTGGAAAGGGGGTTCAGCGCTGTTACCAATCTCCTAACGAAAAAAAGAAACAGACTGGACATCATTAGCCGAGGAGATTCAAGATTAACCCTTACAAAATTGACGCCAAATGTTGATAATTTATTATTAAAGCATCAGGTTCATCCTTCTCACTAAACATATTGACTTATTGCTTATGTTATTTTATTTATAGTTTATTTTATGTTTATTGGTGTCTGACCAATAAATGCCCGCATTGGGAAAAAGTGCCCACATTGATTTTTTTAAAGAACCCCCCTTTATAGAAAATATTTTTTTTTAATTATTCTGAAAATTCAAGGATATTTACACACTAAAATTCGTTAATTTTTTGCCTATTTTCAGATAACTTAAACGTATAAGAAGCGGAATTTAATCAAACTAACAGTGAAATTATTGTAGAACATACGTTTATGTTATAATTAATAAACGAACTGGCTTATTGTACTATTTTAAGTAAAAAACTTTTTTTTATTATTTTTCACTTTTTTTAATTTCTCCCTCTTATTTTTTTTTCAATGCGGGCACTTATTCCCAATGCGGGCACTTATTGGTCAGACACCTGTTTATTTAATGTTACGTATATTTTACATAACAGATACAAAATTTTATTTTGAGTAGTTTTAATTTAAATTTAATTAATAAATGTATAAATTAACATGTGTTTGTACTTTAAGTTTTTAACACTAAACTTCACTACAGTTAGAAATTTACAGAAAATCAATATCAGGTAAGTAGGGGGTCTACCCAACACGGAAAAACATGGCAAGGGGTCTACGACACAAAAAAGTTTGGGGAACTCTATGCAACAGTGAAGCTTTAAATGAAATGATTAGATTTCGAAACGATTCGTAAGCCATTTCAATACCACATGTCCACAAAAAACTAATTGATAAATCGAACTAAAAAATGAAAACTAAGCAATAGTTTAAAAAAACTAAAAAAACACGCTTTTATAACTAACCGAACTAAAAAGTAGAAAATAATGTTTAATTACACAGAGTTTAGAAGTAGATGGTCGAACAATCGATTAATACTACTAAGAGAAAAATCGATTCTTAGTTAATCACTTAATCCCTAAATTACTAAAAGTTGAAAATGAGAAATTGCATTTTCGCAATCTAAAAATATCTGCTCTCTGTATATCTCAAAATGAAAGTGAATGTTCTTTCCGTGACTAGTCTATAGCAGAAGATTGATTAAAAACGCGGTGCAAGGCACACGACTAGTAGTTCGTAAAAGGTAAAACGTATGCCGTAGTATCGTTTATGAAATCAATTTGGTGTGCCGCAATTGCATGAGGTACATTGGCGCATGCTAGAGCATAGTTACCCTTTTTTGTGTTGTATTTGTAACTAATAGTCCGGGACGTATCGTCGGATCTGCTCAGAGAAATACTCTGTTCAGTTTTACTTCCCACGTCTACTGGCGAGGAAGTATTGTAAGCGCGGAAATTTTCGAAAATGAGATATGTTTTCCGGTCCAAACGCCTAGATCTTGGAAAATACTGCTTGGATTTGAATGAAATTCTTACCCAAGGTCGCTACTATACCAAGGACGAGAAATCTAGTTTTAGAAAATCGGTTCAGTGGCGACGGTGCTGGCGCGAAAAACATGAAAAAAATTAAAATCGCTCAAACGTCGTTTTTTGGAGTTTGACTCCTGATCATTTTCAGAAAAATGTTAGTATTGTTCAAAAATCGGAGGTTGGGGGTTGTAGGAGGTGAGGGAAGGTATAACTCATGTTGTTGGTAGCAGTATATCTATACGCTTCCGACACCAGTAATTTTACGCACTTATCAGTACATATTTCACAATTCAAATATACTAAGTGACATATAAATCCGAACACCCAGTTTAAATGGTTTTATTTTAATAA